CCCAACCGATTTATATTTTTTGTATTCGGTAATATTCGGGACCCGTCAAATCATGTGTGTTGAAATGACGTCTGACGTGCATCGCCCCCATCCGAAACATGTGTGGAGTTCGAATATATTATGGGGTGTCAGCGAGACCAAGTGTCGCAATGCTTACATCGGTACAAAAGATTCATAGAACTGAGCTTCAAAATGTTTACATCGGTATCGAGCTGCTACTCGGATTTTCAAAAAGAGAAAGCCGACAGGCCTTCAATACATAAAAAGGGTTACTTCGTACATTCACCGAGGCAAAAAGAAGGTCCGTGTAAAAGAAAGGTCGGATATCCGACTTCGACCATTCACTGATAGAACTTTTTCAAGAACACAGCATTCCAGGGATATTGATGAGGTGTCCCGTTGGGATGAGCAATCCGATATGCTCCGTGGGGTAAAACTTCAGTGATTTGGTAAGGCCCCTCCCACTTTGGTTTGAGTGGTTCGGGGTCAGGCCCCATTATGCGTTTGAGGACCAAGTCTCCAACTCGGAATAAACGAGGTTTGAGTCTAGAATTGATATATCTCTCGCTTCTTTGTTTGTAAGCGGCATTCCTAAGTTCGGCCCGGGTACGATGTTCTTCAAGCAGGTCCAAATTAGCCTTTATGTTTTCCGAGTTGGCCTCTTCGGTGAAATGTTGAACTCGGTACGTCGGTTCTCCGAGCTCGACTGGGACCACGGCTTCTGAGCCGTAAGTTAAAGAAAATGGGGTCTCGCCGGTAGAAGTTCGAGTGGTAGTCCGGTAAGCCCACAGGACATGCGGTAGTTCATCCGGCCAAGCTCCTTTGGCAGCGTCAAGTCGGACTTTAAGGCCGTTTTTTATGAGCTTATTTACAGCTTCAACTTGACCGTTGGACTGCGGGTGGTAAGGCGATGAGAAGAAGTGTTTGATGTTATATTCTTCGCATAAGGACTCGAGTTGCTTGCCTTCAAATTGCCGACCGTTGTCGGTGATGATGGAGTTCGGGACTCCGAAATGACAGATGAGCGATTTCCATATAAAATCAACGACTTTCTGTTCGGTTATCGTGACTAACGGTTCGACTTCAGCCAACTTAGTGAAATAATCAACGGCTACGATGACAAATCGGACGCCTCCTTTTCCGGTTGGTAAAGGGCCTATGAGATCAATCCCCCATTTGGCGAAAGGCCAAGGACTGTAGATCGATTTGAGCTCTTCGGGAGACTGATGGACATTAGGCGCGAACACTTGGCATTTCGGGCATTTGCGAACCCATGTGGCTGCGTCGGTTTTCAAGGTCGGCCAGTAATAACCCTGTCGCAAGATTTTATAAGATAATGCTTGTGCACCGGGGTGACTTCCGCAAATCCCTTCGTGGACTTCTTCAAGAATATACTGTGACTCAGTTTCACTTACGCATTTTAAAAGTGGGACGGAGTATGTAACACCCCTCCTTATCGTTAAATCAGAGTGCGCTAAAATTCGCAAAGTCTTTAAAAAAAATAAAACCTTTTACTTTGCGAAAACTGATTCGGGGTGCTACCTTTAAAATCGTGACTTAATTTGGAAAACCGTTGTTTTAATTTTAATAAAATCGTA